TCTGACCATAGGAATTCGTGTTGTTGATGTTCTTGACTGGGATATTATTTACTTGTAGAGTTAGTTATTGAAGGTCAGACATTTTCTCCCCCAAGCTAGCCATAATGATTTTACAGATCACTGTGAAGTTCAGAGTGTTGAGGGTTTTGGACAGAGTAGGAGAAAAAAATGTGGAATAAAATGCCAAACCATAAAATTATCAGTGGAATCCTACATACTGTCATCTTAAGCAACACTTTAATCTGGCATTAAACTCAATCCTGTCGCTAAACTTTCAGCCAACAATAGACATTTATTTGGTGAATAATTTGGAAAGCGAACAATAATAAAATTTTGAAGGTGAACAATATATAAGATAAATAGTAACACAGAGAGGTGTTTACTCCTTAGAGTAGTCAATCGTACCAGATCAGGAGAGTGGAGAGTGTTATTTTCCCAGAGAGAAAGCTCAGAGGACCGGAAAGGACAGGATAGAAGGATGAATGGAAATAATCATTGTAGGGAAGAAGTGTGAAGAGTACTCTATAATGTGGGAACTGTTAGGAATGTCCTAAAACAACACCCACATGAATCATTTGATGGAAGACTAATTTTATTCAAATCACTATAAATAGTTTTAAAAACCACTCCCCAAACGCCAGGATAGATGCAGAGAGACACAAATGTAGGAAGATTTGCTTTCAAGTAAAAAAAAACAAACCCAAGGAATCAAGAAATGCCTGCGACTACTGACAAAGAGGTAATAGATATGGCAGAGATCCTGATTGGTATTTAGGTTACAGTACTATTGTTGTGTTGTTATTATGTGTCATTGAGTCGCTTGCAACTCATAGTGACCCCATATGTAAAAAGAAATTTCTATTCTTTTAAACCAGTTACTTGTGGTAGTTTTGTCACTATATAACAACACTAGTTACAAAGAAGTCAAGAACTAGAAAATGTTAAAAGTTAGTATTTTAACAACTTCACATACTCATACTATGATTGGGTTGCAAGTGACTCAACACCACATAAAAACAACAGCAGTCATTCACAGGAAGGACAAAAAATTTCATTTTTCTCTCTCTCTATATATAAAATAATATCATATACATATTACATAATGTTGATAAATTATTTTTCTTTTTTTGGTGAAAATTTATAGAACACATTCTAGAAGAAGATGGTTTTCCACTCAATCCTTGTACATATTGTTTAATGACATTGATTATAATGACCATCATTAACCACACTCTTGCAAATTTCTTCCGGTAATTCTCACATCCATTAATCCTGCTATCCTAACCCTTCTGTCTTCTGAGCTTTATCACTGGGATCCATGCCTACATAATTAAATAGCTGGCTTATGTTGTTGCTGTTGATAGTGCCACTGAGTCAACTCCAACTCCTACTGACCCTACCTATGAAAAACAGATCTAAAACAACAAGTCTTGTGCAACCTTGCACCATTGCCATGATCTCTGTCATGCTTGAGCCCGTTGTGGTATTCACAGTGTCAATGCGGTGTGTGTTTATGTTGTATTGTTGTTATGTGTCATCAAGTTGCCTGCAACAGCTCTGAACCCTGTCCTATCCTGAGCCAGTCATACTGTCTCCAACACACCTAGCCCCTTTACCCCAATTACTGTGGCAATCCATCTCATCCAGGATCTTCCTCTTCTGTGCTATCTCTTCCTTCTTCAAGGACTAGTCCCTCCTGGAAACATGCCCAAAGTATGTGAGATTCTAATTCCTTTCCTCCAAGGAGCAGCTTAACTTCACTCTCTCCAGGAAGGAGCTGTTTGTTCTTTTCGCAGTCCATGATATGTTCAATACTCTTATCCAATGCCACAATTCCAAAACATAGATTCTTCTCTCATCCATAGTCATTTTCCACCTCTCTGATGCATAGCAAGTAATTGCAAAGATTATGGCCTGGATCAGGCTCGCCTTCGTCTTAGACTGATATGGCTGCTCTTCAGCACTTCTGAGAGGTCTGTGACAACAGTCTTTCTTAATAAAATTTGTCTTTTGTTTTCCTAACTGCTGGTGCCAAGAGTTTTGATTGTGAACCAAGCAAGCTGATAGAGATAATTTGAGGTTATGCTACTGGTGGATTCCTGAGTATTTCACCATAATTGCAATCTCTAATGCTGTTGATTCCAACTCATAGGAATCCTATAGAGAGAGTAGAACTTCTCCATAGAGTGTACAAGGCTGCAGCTGTTTACAATAGCAGACTTCAGTGGAATTCACTGCCGTACAGAGTGGGCGATGGATTCAAATCAACAACCTTTGGTCAACAGCCAAGTTCTTTAACCCTCTTTTCACTTGGCTTCTCAGTAATAACAAATATATGTTGAGTGAAGCTGTACACTAAGTATTTAAAACAAACCCACAGCGTCCCTTTTCAGCAGGAAGTAGCTAAGAGAATACGCCATCCCCTTTTCCTTATGAATCAGGGTGAAGTCTCTCTCAGGGAGGAGTGATAGGGAATAGAAAGGGACACACTGACAAAGGAGATTAATCAGAACTGACTTTGACAAGCACTGTGGCAATTGGACAATTAAAACAGACATTCGGATGGCAGGGAAGAAGAACAAACTGGGGAGGAAGGTAGAGAGAATGGTGCAGTAATGAAGGAATGAAAACCCAAAATCCCTGTAAATGTTCATTAAAACTAATAAAATTTAATAAAATAAAAAATAAAAAAAACGTATAATCTCATTTACCCTTCCTAAAAGCTCAAAAAGGGAAGAAATGTTATTAGTCCCTTTTAAGATAAGGAAAGGAAGGTTCAGAAAGCTTATTTGCCAAAAGTCACATGGATAGTTTTGACAGAGTAAGGCTGCCAAGAGGAAAATTATAACTTTTTAAAAAATAAATCCATACTTTTGACTATTATCTTACACTGTCTGACATAATCATTTTATTTTTATTTATAGTTCATAATGCCCATTAATTTTGTATATCATAGCTATAATTCCTTTTGACTTTCTTAATTTTATTAATTTATTGAAGGAAAAATTCATCACTCAATTATATAATCTTGCTGTTCCAGATAGATTTTTTACTTTATAACTTGTCTTGCTCGATATTTTACATTCATTTGTGTGATGATTTCATTGCTGTCAGTATTAGTTATCTCATACAAAGTATCTAACAAATTACTCTAAAACCTTGTGGCTTTAAGCAATAACAGGCACTTATAGCCATTTATGATTTTTGCAGGTAAGGAATTAAAATAAGTAATAGTAGTGTTGTTGTTAGGAGCAGTCGAGTTGAGTATGACTCACAGAGACCCTATGAAAAGCCAATCTGAACCCAGAGTACAGATTGGATAGATATGGAGCAAGAATACATCCCTGATGCGTACTTTTCAACCATGCAGTGTTCCCTTGCTCTGTTCAGACAACAGCTTCTTGGATCTGGGTCTAGGTTTCACATGAGTACAATTAAATGTCTGCAATTCTAATTCATCTCAATGTTAGCCACAATTTTCTGGGGTCCACAGTGTCATCCTGTGCTTAGCACCTGCTCCCTGTTGGAAATACTGCCTTCATTTGCTCTAACAGATCTGTGCATTCTACATGCAGCACATTTCTTTTCTTCATTGTTATCCTATGTTCCTTTTACTCTCTGTTTCCATTTCTGGCTTTGTTATAATTCAAGGTCTAAGCTTTTGATAATAGAATACCTCTGGGCAGTCTTCTCCATTGTCGTTTTCCACTTCTGAAGACTCAATGGGGAGTGAGCTACGAGTCAATTTCAATTTGACAGTATATAACAACAAAAACAACAACAAAAACAACAACAAAAACAAAGATTTTTACATTAAAGGGGGAAAATGGAAAAAATATATAGGATAAACAGATAAAATATGGCCTTTTGGGAGTCTATAATATTGCCATGAGCTCTGTTACCCTAGTGATAAGACATGTCATAGCCAACCCTAAGACATGTGGTTTGAATCCACCAGCTGTTCCAATGGAGAATGGTGGGCAATCTAATCCCACATAATTCATATAATCCACATAATAATTCAGGTCTCTGAAAACCTCCAGTAGTTAAGAATCAGTTCTAACTCAATAGTGCTTAGCAACAACTTTTTATTGGTACTCAGGTGAATAGACAAATAATTGAAACAAAGTATTTTCTAATGACAGTAATGATTTGTTGTTGTTATGTGCTGTCAAATGGCATGATACTCATAGTGACCCTATGTACAACAGCTCTGAACTCTGCTCTATCCTGAGCCAAACTTACTGTTTCCAACACATCTACCCCCCATTATCCCAGTCACTGAGTCAATCCATCTCATCAAGTGTCTTCTTCTTCTGCACTTTCCCTCCACCCTCCCAAGCATGATGTCCTCTCCAAGGACTGGTCCCTCCTTGTAACATGCCCAGACTATGTCAGATGAAGCTTCAGAATCCTTGGCTCCAAGGAGCATCCTAGCTTCACCCTCTCCAGGACGAACCCATTTCTTCTCTTAGCAATCCATGGTACAGTCAATATACTCTTCTCCAGCACCACAGTTCAAAGGAATCAATTGACTTTCTATCATCCTTAATCATTATCCAGCTTTCTGATAAATAGTAGGTAATTGTAAATACCATGGCCTGTGTCAGGTGCACCTTAGATTCCAGACTGACATCATTGCTCTCAGTTCTCTGGAGATTTCCCTGACAGCAGACTCTTCCAGTGCAATTTGTCTTTTGATTTACGGGCTGCTGGTGCCAAGAGTGTTGATTGTGGAGACAAGAAAACTAAAGCTTCTAACAATCTCAATCTCTTCACCATCTATTATGATTCTGCTAATAGGTCCAGTAATGAGTATATAATTAATATACTTATAAATAAATTATAAAATGAAGGTAATTAGATGTCTTGAGGTAGTCTATAGGTCTTCTTGACTTCTAGTGGTTGATTTCAAAATGGCATCTTAGGTTAGAAAAGAAGAATGTTGGTGGGACCAAAGTGAGGCGGTGGGGCAGGGGCTGGCATCTAGGACGGCAGTGATGGCGTACAGTGGACTCACCGTGCCTCTCATAGTTATGAGCATGTTCTGGGGCTTCGTGGGCTTCTTAGTGCCCTGGTTCATCCCTAAGGGTCCTAACTGGGGGGTTATCATCACCATGTTGATCACCTGTTCAGTTTGCTGCTACCTCTTTTGGCTGATTGCAATTCTGGCCCAGGTCAACCCTCTCTTTGGACCACAGTTGAAAAATGACACCATCTGGTATCTCAAGTATCACTGGCCTTGAAGAAGACGTTGTGCTCTGCAGTGCTGTCATTGAGGTCACGAAGAGAATTTCTCTACAGGCAAAATCACCTCCAGACCCAGACCACCAATCTCGACTCACCTAGTTAGGCATTAGCTGCCTTAAACATTCACATCACATTTGAATGCCTTATTCTAAAATGCAATATTTTTCCTGTCATCTTTCTTACACT